CTAACAAACTTTCTCGGATAAGTAAATGGACTGTGAGTTGCATCCTTTGCAAAGATGTAGAAATTCCGGTCAAGTGTACATATACATATATATATAGATACATATATAGATTTGGTATGATATATATTTTATGGCACAACATTAATCATTTTATTTACGATATAATAAAGTAATCCCGAAGAAAAGTGATGTCATCGTATCTACATTTTTTTTCACTAAGCATTTCAATTATTTTCGGATTATGTCATTGAAGTAATAGCAAACACCGTGATAACTATATATTTATATCTATCTGCGCTTATTTCCTACTCATCGTTTATACATACACATATCTAAAAAGATTTCTTCGACTTACCAGCAAAGAGATTTGAGATTCTGTTGTCCCAATGAGCCATTGGTCATTATTTCTTGAGTCGTCTTCTGATACGATTTGTAACACAAAAGCTCGTATTCGGCTTTGGATTTCTGCATGCACGGCGCGTGTTTCAAGAATTCTGCAAACAGAAAATTGCATTTTCGTTATTGAACAATTGCGCATTCGTACATAGGTATCAATAATGGAATTTCGAGGTCAATCAAGCCGACTTGACAAGCGGAGAAATATATATAATCTAATATTACTAAAAAGAATGAATATACATACGTATTAATTCTCCAGAACATAATCATTTCAATTTATAACAAATACAATAACTAAAATCGACTCGATCTACACGTTCTGATTTCGAGAAATAGGTAATTAAATTATTTCGCAAATAAAAATTAAAGTTGATTAAGATTCAATCGCATTTTCTCTCATTCTCGTTTCTATTCTTAGAAAATAACTCGAGCTATTTACAAGCGTAGTCTATAATTACAAGAATATACATAGATCATTGACTGACGCACTAGTCTCGTCATGCTTTGAGATCATAGTTTTGAATATAAAGGCCGCTTTCCCGGCTCTTGTTTACGATAGGCGTGCTGTACATTAAGCAGCATGCGATATGAGGAATCAATATTACTCTCCTTGCTAACAATTCATTATGTTACAGTGCTTCTCTCTAACGGAGGAGAGTACATTATGAAGAGTCATGCCGGCTCGATCGACCCGCGGACAATCTACACGATATTCCCGTAATCTCGAGAGTGCCGGATGCATTATTGAGTCTAGTATCATCTCTGACTGGACCGACAGTTTGGAATTGCATTGATGCCTATGGCTTGCCCAATTGGCAAAAGAGTTGCTGGCTTTGTCGACTGGCGGATGACTTTGCGCATCGTTTATATATTTCTCTCTTCGAAAATAAGATCTATGTCAATTTACAAACGATGGATTTATTTTTAATAAAGCTCTTATCCACGAAAATAAGAATCTAATTCCAAATTATATAGAATATCGCATATTTAAATATAAAAGTCAATTGCCTTTTCCGTGAGATATAGACGAGTTTCTCTACTTATCGATTCCTCAAACTTTCTGCATTTTTATTTAAAATTTCTGTATTCATTCTTTCCCCATTTAAATTCCAAAATATGTTAATATTTTAGAAGACATAAAATATAAAAATACACTTAGCTAAAAAAAAAATCTAAATCTTTTATTCAACCGCGCAAATCAGTTTTGTAATATTTAAAATAATTTCTTTCTCTTATTTTCATAATCTTTTAGCAATTATGATTATACATTGAAGCCGTAAATGTCTAATCGGTTCGATAGGTTTAGGCAAGATCACTTACCGTCCTGGTACGGGCCGTCTTGGCAAAGCTCCATGATAGCCATATTGGTACCGGTGTACAGAGAGTTGAAGTGTTCTCGTTGCTTTTGCTGCATGCAATTTAGCGTGTATTTTTTTATGCATTTCATACCTGCTTCGAGATCCCTGTAACAAAAACGGGAAATATTCGCTTATTTAGGCATTCGCTGTTTCGAAAGTAATGGACAAAAATGAAAGTTTATCAGTATATTAATAGGAACTACGTATGTGCGATAAAATCGCAAATATCTCAAAAATATATACGTGAAATTGGCAAAAATAACTTTATTAGACTGTGTTAAAATGTTTTACTACGAAATATTTACTATCTAATTGCAAAATATCCAATAAACCAAAGAAATTACCTTTATTTTTTTTATTTCTAAATTTCGACATTATTAATCTAAATATTAATTACAAAATATTTGGTCAATTTCAAAAACGTATGAAGACTGTATTTCATTTGTGAGTTTTTACAAAAGACAAAATAATAAATTAATTGTCAGTTTTCAAACATTTTTTCAATAATTTGTTTTGATAATAATAATAAAATATAATATAAATAATCATAAAAATGTACAAAAAACAGTGGAGTCAGCACTGGAAATCAATTGCATAAAAAAAAATAGAGATCGATAACGAACTTGTTTTGATATATTGATTTTTTCTTCAGATAAGATAATAATTTACAAAAATATTTAAGAATACAACACTTACTTTTAATTTTCGTCTTCTAATTTTAAATTTCTTTTCAAATTACTTTCACATTGAACAATGAAATCTTTCCTAACTTAATTAATCCAGACAATATTCAAAGGCAATACATATATACGTATTGTACAATACGATCCTCTCTCAAGACTCGACGGAACAAACAAGAAACTTGGGTCGTATCTCAAGACAAGTCCCCTCAATAGAATCGCGATTATAAATATGATATCATGAATATCAAATTGACTTTCAAGATCTATCTATCGAACCGTGTCATTTCTCAAGATCGTTTCCAAATTGAATTGCTCAGCACAAACGCGACTATAAATACAAGCCAATGTCATGTTGTATCTCGAATAGAAAGCCGTATTGAAACATCAAGAATAAATCGATATTTGCACAATATGGAAATTTTTCAACTGTACTTTCGACGTAGCAAGTAACTAATAAAGACATATGTATATGCATAATGTACATTTCATCTTATCTTTAAAATTGATAGTGCAAAGCGTCTGTGTGATTTGTACGACCATCGCATCAAAGAACAAACATAGTGAGACGTTATGGTGCAATACTCGCTACACGTGTAGTCTTGATAGCGCAATTTTTATAGTGCCGGTATAGTGTAGTTTTATCATGACTACGGAAGGAAACGCGGCACGATGTGGAGCAGCACGATTAATAATTTGTCATATCGGCTATGACTTGCCGGGCACGCACGAGTACATCAGGCCTGAATGAAATTTAAAGTTCCATGAAATGAGCCAAATTTCCTTTTGGCTCGGCGCTATCGTCGGAACGGCTAAATTGCAGCCGTAATAAGATTCTTCGTCGAATACTGGGGCTGGAAATATCGTGCGAAATATCCGGCAGCTTGCATGCAATCATCCACTCAATTACATACGTACCGCGCCGACTCGACGGCGCGAGAGAGATTCGAGCGATCGAGCATCACCGAATTGTGATAAGCCGGCGCGGTGCAGAGACCTCGATACGATCGCGAATTCGGACGGATATAATAGACTAAAGCCGAATGTCATATATTATTCTCGGATCAATTTCCAATTTTCCGAGAAATCGAAGAGTCGTCCGTGAAATCTCCGGAATCATCAACCGACTTTTATATAATATTTCATCCATATGCGGAATGAACGCGAATGAATTTTAAATATGTGTAATGGAAGAGAACAATTTTTTCTAATGATTATAAAATCGTCAAATGCAATAAACACTTCTTTATTATATTTCCTTATCTTTTCTCTCGACGTTGCAATTAGCGCGATTAAGCTCCGCAGAAAGAGAGAGAGAGTAATTCTGCGCGACAGCGCGCATTCCTGCACGTTCTAAAAATTGATATGAAGTGCGAGGAGAGAGAGAAACGACTAGACATTTTTCTCGTAGCGAAAAATTTCCCGTGGCGCGGGAAGAAAGTGGAAGAGGAAGACGAGGAGGTAGACCGTCACGAAATTCCCCACGAAACGGAACGTCAGCGTAACCCGCACCGACGTCTTCCTCTCATGGAACATGTAAAGACGGCGAATAACAACGGACGTTTTCCGTTTAAAGAGATCGCCCGTGCGGATGTAGAGAGAAGAAAACTCACGGGCATAGTTTGTTGATATCTTCCTTTTTCGTGACGAAACTCAGGTCGCTATTGCTGATTCTTTCAAGAGGTCTAGCGCACCTCACCAGCTCCTCGTGTCCGCACTCTTCACCTCGGCAGCTAGCAAGCACTGAAACAGAAACGCGATAATCGGGTTAGCTAACGAGAGAGAGAGAGAGAGAGAGAGAGAGAGAGAGAGAGAGAGAGAGAGAGAGAGAGGAGCGAGAAACGTGGTCGATTCGCGAAATGTAAGAGGCAACAAGGACTCGATACGTCGTCCCCATCGATAACAATGTTATTAGTAAGGGAATCGCAAAGAGCAGCGCTGTTTCTCGAATTCGATTAAGCGCGCGACGAGCACGCGGAATCGATGTTGCCGTTGCGGCGTGATTGCAGCGGAAATATCAAACAAGTTTAATTGACGTGGAAACAATGCAGATTGCACCTAGAACTTCATACTCGGACGGATCTCCAATATTCTCTCATTTCAATGGAGTTGTATCACGAGATATCGTACACGTCTATCGCGAGCAAGACATTATACTTAAAGTTTGTATCATATTATATATTTGAAAAAGATATCCCATGTAGAAAGAAGTTTTGCTCAAGTATATAGTTAGATATACAAATCTGAAAAGAATTTTATTGAACCATAAAATAATTATGTAGGGTGCTCAAACTGATTGTTAAAATATCAAAATCTCTTGAAGGATTGCTCGAAATTTCTACCTAATTATTTTGATAGTCCAACAAAATTATTTTCAAGTCTTCATCTAGCTGAATTTTTAGATACTTCAGCAAAATCATTTTTCCCGTACATTACTCTCTGATAAATTTTTACTAGGAATTAAAATCTTAATAAAATAAATTTCGTTTCAACTTGATTTAAACAAAATTAAGAGAAATGTCGAAAATATTACGTAAGGAAAATCATCGATTGTTTAACATAATCTAGAATATTTAAATTAATACTACTGGTGCAATACGACTGTTACTTCTTACTCGTATTTTTTATTTAGGTGACAGTGATTAAATTCCATTATATCGAAAAGCATCGATCATTAATGATTTTCGTGGTACAATAATAACTTTTTAACCGCATAAAAATGTTTTAATATTGTTTTTGTAGAGAGAATACATGTATAAAGATAAAGTGCAAGTTTCTGCGCATCTTTTCTCAATTTACTACGTTACAAGTAATAAATTTGACATTTATTTTTTATAGTTTTCTATTAAATGTGTAATTAAATGTATAGTTGAGGTATCATAGGAGTCATACATTAAATATTCATGACGAAACGGAACAATATAGAAAATATATGTACTAAAAGGACAATTTATACTTCTAAGCAATTAATTTTATTTTACCGTAATAAATGTTTTATCTTATAATGATTATTTCTCATTTGTTTTCTCATAACTTTCTATTTCATTATTTAATAATTATTAGTTATAATTATATTTTATCGTATTAGTGACTATAAGTTAAATACTTTCGTAACTGCTACTTTTTGCGTAATCCTATTATTTTGTGTGTAACTTATGATATCCTGGGTCATCATAGGATACTATGGGTCATTTCTTAAAAAATATGTTTTTATTTTTTTTTCCTAAAAAC